TTTCCAGAAAATATTTTTTAGAAAAAAAGAACTTAAAAATAAAAAAGTTGGAGTTGGGGTGTTTTTTTTTTTTTTTTTTTTTTTTTTTTTTTTTTTAAATGTCTCAGTTTAGCAAGATGTGTCTTTTAGGCAATTTTCTGTAAAATAAATGAATTATACTCTTATAGAAAACTCTCTGTTTCTCTTTCAGGACGGGGTTTTGGTGGATGAGTTTGGCCTTCCTCAGATTCCTGCCTCGTAAACAAAGATGACGTGAAGACGACTGCACTTCAACTGAAAACACTTTTCTATGTAGAGTAACGTTTATACATGCAAACCCGTTGGATCTGAACACACTACTGCTTTGAAGCTGCCCTGGTGTTGGATTGTGTACGGTTACTACTATCATGTTAGCATGTGGCCTTTTAAAAAAAAACCCGTTCACCATCGTTTTCGACCTGTTGTCCTCACCGACGTTTTTGGTTTTGTTCATGACTTTTGTTATTAACTTATTTGCATATTTATTAGCTTTGTGTTTCGGTCAAGTCCTTACTGTTTTGTTTGAGTTCTGCAAGGTGGAGCTAATTCCCTCGCTCTACTTGTTTAAAATATCTGCAGGGGTACTTGAAACGTGCAAAATAAATGATGTCTTTTATCTTCGCATTTTCTTTGTAATTTATTGATAATAACGGTTTTGTTTTGTTTCTCTGTAGGTGTTTGTCTCTTCTTTATTAGGTACAGTCTTCCTGCTGAACTACCCTTCAACTTATTTACCAAGTAATACAATGTAGAAATACAATGAAAAATTAAAAATAAGTGTTGAAACCAATGTTAAGATAGCATTCATAAATATGCTTTTGCACTAATATGATCAGCATATGATTACTGATCATGTCCTGCAAAACCTGTCTCCTTCTTTTGAATAATTTTGCGACCTATAGCTATACCGCATGAATGCATTCTGTTTGTGCAAGCTACTGCAAAACCTTTGGAAAGAATATTTGGACTTCTCAAGGGGAAAAAAAGATACACTTTTGTAGAAGCACTGTTACATCCTGGAACATTTTATTCTAGTGTTGGAGATTACAAAATCAATGGAAAGCTAATGACAAAGCAAACTTTTGGAGGAAAACATTTAAGCATTTGTTATGTTCTGTAAAGGTTTCTTCTTTTGCAGAAGATTGCAGAATGTTTTAATTTGATTCATATTTTGCAGAGATTCAGAGTTACTTTTAAATAATCTGCAAAAAATACATATAAATAGCTCAAACTAAATAAATATGTAATATGCCTTTTGCAAGGCTCAGTATTTTAGGTTAAAAAACAAAATGTTTAGAGTAGTCTGCTTAAAACCACCACAGAGGAAAAAGAACAAAGGGTAGTAAAACAACCATTTCGTGACTGCTCAGTTTTGACAATTTATCAATATCTGAATTTGACATTTAATAGTTTTTCTCTGCCTTTGATCAAGTAGTAGTCAGTATTTAATGGCAAAGTTGTTCCAACCAAATTTTGATTTAATTCCCTGAAAAGTGCGACTCTGGTGGGACTCGAACCCACAACCTTTGAATCTCTTCACTAGAGCTTTGCTAGAAGTCCAATGCGCTATCCATTACGCCACAGAGCCAGTTAGAGAAAGCTCGTCAGATCTCCCGGGTGATCGCACATGTCATATTTTTGGCATATTTATAGATATATCTGACAAGAATAAAACCTTATGATTATTATTTTTCGAAGAGTTAGTTTAACAATGCATGTACTTTTATACAGAAATATTTTTATAAAGATATATGATTAAATAAATAAGTGTTTCCGGTATTCACCGGAAATGTTCGCAGTTAGCTACAGTTAGCTGCATTAGCATTGTATGTAAGGACGGAAGCTGGAACGCAACAATGTCAGCGCAAACAATTACTGTGACTGTGGCATACGGTAAAACTCTTCTACATTATAACGTTAAGTTTGTCATTGAATGATTGTTTGTTTTTTAAGTGTAGTTGGGTGCCAGGTGATGCTAAGCTGTTGTATCTCATTACAATTCATATTTGAATGGGGTTATCACATTTCAAACATTTGAAATCGTAAAGAAGACAGATCCAGTAAATTGGTTAGTTTCGACTAAATTAATTACAGCTAGGGCTTGATTGAAATCGGTGTTTCATATTTATTTTTGTTCTGAACCGCATTATTATTTTAACAGTTATGTATGTTTTAAATAACTCCCTATTAATCTGACATGTTTTGAATACATTTTGTCACGTGATGATGTACAAAACAATCTTAATCGAGCATCATAGACGTGATTTATTTTTTTTTCGCTGATGTTTATGCTAGCAGTGTTATTTAAAAAGTAAAGGGGATAACACCATGCAATTTCGAAGGATTTGAGTTCAGCAAAATATGCTTTCTACCTCATGTTTGCTATAATTTATCCATCTTTCTCAGGCTAGCATTTAAAACAATCACACAATAAAGGAATGCATTTTTAAATACTAGTGTAGCTTATCCTCATTGCTAAGAAAAATCTAAAATAAAAATAACACGTAAAAAATAATATTTTTAAATAGTAACTTTTTGTACTATTATTATTAATTTGTAATTACTTAAAGTCTCTCATGAATCAAAAATAATCAAAAACAAAACAAAGTTATTTATTATGATTGACAACAATAACTTCCAATTCAAAATCTCAACTTACTGATGAAACAATGATCACACTTTTAGGTAGTGGTGCCAATATTTTCTTAAATTCAGTTTTATTTTCCTTTTCAGGATCAACTAAACACAGCATCACACTAACAAGTCAAGAGGATGGAACGGGACCCACTGTTAAAGACTTATCAGACGCTCTTAATGAAGCTACTGGTGTCCCACCGGCCTCACAGAAGCTCATTTTTAAAGGTAAGATGTTATTGAACTCACAAGTGAACTTGAATTTTCTGTTTGATCTCTAACACCAAATCTTGCAGGAAAGTCTCTGAAGGACATGGAAGCGAGTCTCTCCAGCTGTGGAGTGAAAGAGGGTTGCAAACTCATGATGATTGGAAAGCGGGTGAGGACTTTGCGTGCGCCATGTCTAGTGTCTGATGCTGTGTAAATACGGAGATACTCACTGTAATCTGCAAACAGAACAGCCCAGAGGAAGAGGCTGAACTAAAGAAGCTGAAAGAAATTGAAAAGTCTGTGGAGCAGACAGCTAAAAAGCTGGAGACGGTAGACGGGGAATTAACTGGATTAAAGAACGTAAGCAATCAGTTACAGCATGGTAACTATTGTTTACTAGTCGTTGTTCATGACGTGTCTTTCAGTCTGTTGTCAACATCAATAGTTCTTTGCTCTTTCTTTCTTTAGGGCTTTCTCGCAAAAGACCTCCAGGCTGAAGCGCTCAGTAAACTAGATCACAGAGTAAAAATAGCAGCTGAGCAGTTCATGAAAATCCTGGAGCAGATAGATGCCATGGTAATCTGTTCTGCTATTTTGTATTCATGTGGTGTTTTTTTTTTTAGTGTTATTATTTTGACTTGTCTGACCTAACATTACTATATTCTCTTTTAAGGCCATCCCAGAAAATTTTATCGACTGCAGAACAAAGAAGAAGAGTCTTGTGAAAACCGTGCAGGTTAGTCTATATGCATTTTTTTTCCTAAAAGGTACATTCATGTTTTATTGAAAACTGTCTTGATAAAACCAATAACTACAAATCATTGTATATTTCTAGGATTTTCTGGCTCAGTGCGACAGGATCGAGGCTTGTATATCAGACCACCTATCAAAGATCCAGTCTAAAAACCTGGCTCTGGCAGAGTAATCAACTCTCCTATGTTGTGTGCTTTAAGTTGCTCTATGAGCAAAGCAAAGGTCTCAGAGTGCTTCAAGTAAGAAGCAGATCCTACTTTATTTATTGTGAAGAGGGTGCTGTAGGGACAAACAATCAATCATTTGAAAACATGGGCTGTTGGTTATCAACATCGGTGTCTGAATACATACTGGATCTCTGCAGTGTGCATACTTTCTACCATAACACTCCAGTCTTTTTTTTTTTTTTTAAGGTTTTATTGGCTCTAGTGGCCTTTATTTGATAGTAAATTGACAGGAAAGAGGGGAAGACATGCACCAAAGGTCACCAGGCCGGGAATCGAACCTGCAACGGCCACGTCGAGGACTAAGGCCTCCATATGTGGGTTGTGCTTAACCCCTGCGCCACCACAGTACCCTGACAGTCCAGTCTTGTTCAAGATCAAGGTCGATTCTACAGGGGTTTGCACTCATTCTGTAACAGCAAAGCCATCTGTGGTTTATATCCATTTTTCAAGCGTTAGATGTTTACTTGAGGTCAGGGACACATTTATGTTGAGTTCCTTCATCCTCTGTCCCTACTACTTCTTGAAATCAAGAGGGCAAAAAGTAGTCTTGGGCTCAAATATTTTTTTCAGAATCAACTTTCCAAAGTTCTCAGCCCTGTTTTGTCAAATTTTTAAAATTCTTTCGTATAAGTTTTAGCAATTGAACATAGAATATTTTCCATTCCAATGGCGTAAAAATGTCTTTTTACGCCATTGGTCCAGACTTGAAAGATACCAAAATGAATGTGTCTACTTTTTCAGATTGTGTAGGAACCGAATCATCGCAGTAGGAAATGTTAAGAACACTGAACCTGGATGCAGCTGTCATTAATGTAGTTGTATTGAATATTGTTGAAGTTGGGTGCTTACATGTTAAATACTCCAATCGACACGTAAATGAGATGTGTCGTCATTGGACACAAGAACAGACAAATGAAGGCAAATGATCCCAGGTCTTATCATGGCTGGTACTTTTAAAGTTAGGGAAATTTTCTCAGAAACCTTCCTAAATCTGCAGGTTAGTTATGTCCATTCACTCTAATGTAGGTGCATATATAAAGTAATCTCTGTATGCATGGAAGTGTTATTTTTTTTTTGTTAGTACAGAAAGGAGAATACTTAAATTTGGACTTTTTAAAGCAATTGTTACTAAACTTTTAGAACTTTTCTTAAGTATACAAACTTATTTGGGGTTTCGACTGTAGATTTTAAACATGTAAGCCTGCTGCTTGATGCACCAAAAAGGAAAACATTGAAACTACAACCACTATCAACAACACTGCCCACTATGGACAGGATTACATCTACATTTGTACATGCATTGTTATTCCACATAAAGAAATCCCGAGTCACCTGCAGTTCCGGTCAAATTTATTGTCTCCTTTTGTAGAATGGAAAGACAAGTTGTAAGCATCTGCCTTTGTTTTGAAATAAAATGTTTTGAAAAATCATCAGAGATTCCGTCACTGGTCCCAGAACACAATTTAATGTCAAAACATTCCTACGAAAAACACAAGTTATTTAGTCTTAAGTAAACACCTCGTGTCAGTTTGTTTCCAGCTTTCTCCGCGAGGGTCCTTTCCTACATAATTGGACCCTGAAATGTTGTCAAAGATGTGCAAAATGAGCTCTGAAATAAGGATTAGAAGGGGACCCAGAGGTCCAGGAAGCAGCTTAAACAAATGACCCTCAACAGGCTATACCACAGAGAAGACTTTTCATGAGCCAAACTAAGGATATAGCTGATCTAAATAAAATATTAACCCGTTTCAAAATGCAAATGGAGTACAGCATGAACCTCAACAGGGCACATCCCCCGTCACTAATCGTCCTTGTCCTTGGCGCCATGTTTTAAAATACGTGTGAAAGCTACATAGTTGAAGTTGCCCTTCTTGTCAATCGGCGCCTCGCGGAAGAGCTCGTCCACTTCTTCGTCGGTGAACCTGTCGCCCATGGTGGTGAGCAGCTCCCGCAGGTACTCCTCCTGGATCACACCTGAGAGGAGAAAAAGGCTTGAAATGCTATTGATTCCCTCGCCTTGTAGACAGGGAAGCGAAAATGCGGTTCGGTGAAAGTTCCAACATACCTGTGCCCTCTTCATCGAAGCAGGCGAACGCGTTGCGGATCACGTCCTCTGGGTCAGTGCCGTTCAGCTTTTCTCCAAACATGGTCAGAAACATGGTGAAGTTAATCGGGCCGGGGGCTTCATTCATCATGGCCTCCAGGTACTCATCAGTAGGATTTTTACCTGGAAAATGCCAAACAAAACAAAAGGTTATTGTTGCTCTGCTTGAGTCCCATATTTAAACTTTAATGGCTTTACAAGATGAAATAGTACATCATGTTTTTAAATCCTTTTTTTTAATTATTCTCATGTTGGAAAATGCCTTTATAAAGAGTTTTATTGTTGATCAACTGAACATGAATATCTGTGATTACACATATCACCTAATGAGGCGAGCATGTCGTGGAGATCTTCTTTGTCAATAAATCCGTCTCTGTTTTGGTCGATCATGTTAAAAGCCTCTTTGAACTCCTGGATCTGAGACTGATCAAACATGGCAAACACATTGGAGGTGGCCCGCTGGGGACGCTTCTTGGTGTTCTTCCCCTTGGCCCTTTTACTCGACATGTTGCCGTCTGGTGGCTCCCCCTCTACCTGTAACGGAAACGACGCTAAAGCTGTCAGCCTGGGCTGGGCAACAATACGAGGTTATTTAGCTCAATTAGCTACCTCTAGATGCAGGTTGACAAATACTATGGGATTATCATTTATGAAGTAATAAGTCACAAAAAGTTTTGCTTTGTAAAAATACTTTTTACAGAGCTGACAAGCTGGACTTTATAGTAATTGCAAGAATCCACACCTTTTCCAGACTTCTTAGTCCACGTTTTGTCTGTTTCAAAGTATAACGCAAAGGTTCAAAATGGATGGAAGAACATACAAAAACAAAATGACAAGATGGGTAAACAGAAAAAAAAATGGACAGATGCATGGGCAAACCAAAGAAGTAGATTGAGGGATGGGTGATGGACAGCTGAACAGATGAATGATGACTGAGAGAAGGATGGTCAGATCTGGAAAACTACGGACAGTTGGATAAGAAAAAAGTTTGGAAACGTTTCATATTCTGTTTACTTTATCCAGATCTCGCTGAAAGCATATAGGGTGTTTGTTAACAGAATCACTTTTCGGCACAGCGTTCAACGTGACACCATGAGACTCACTCGGTTCGGCTTTCGTGTTGTTCCCCCTTTGTTTGAAGGACACACCCTTTATTGTACACGAGTGTGTTCAATTAGACAAGTCACGTGATGTGACGCACAATAATTCAATAATGATAAAAACAACAACAAATGAGAGCACAAAACATTCATAATGTCAACAGTGTTGTTTACTTGACTGTTACAATTTCCCATCAAAAGTATGAGACCCTACAGCCTGTTTTAATTAATTTCAGGGTGAAACTCCCACTGAAAACTGGAAGTCAAGGCAACTGTTAAACCGCATTCAAAGGACGTAGGAAATTTAACAACCAATTTGAAATACATTGATCTCTATCTTGCAGAACCTCTTCATAAACACATATTGACATAAATGTTTTTGTAAAAATGTTTCTATTTTTTTTCCAGATATAATATAAACAAATTTATGCAAGTTATGTGTGTTGTTATTAAAGATCATCAGAACATATTATGCTAGCGCTACTGTGCCAAACGTAAAATATATCACATAAACCAAGTCTTTAATTCTGGGGTTATATATACTGACACTTCTCTGCAATAATCCATGTACAACCCAGTACGTTTTCCGTATATAACACAATTTAATCAAAACATGTTATTGGCCATCTCCTCTGACCTACATAACAGTTAGCTTCAGAATAGTAGCTATAACGAATTCAAAGAGGAAAATATACAGCTTGTTCTCAAATCCAGTATGTTTCGTGAGCGTTCTTTGGACGGAAAATGATTTACCCACCTTAGAAGAAATGTAAAATGTGTAGAAAAATAGCTGTACACAAAGCTATCAGCACATCCCACAGTCAGAGCGGAGCAGAGCTGGAAAGAACCAACTATCTATCTGGAATGTTCCATTCATTCCGAATCGTCCCTATTACTTTTGGTTAACATTAGAAAATAAAAATGTAACAAATTATCTATAGCGGTAGAAGGGAATGCATTTTCTGAAGTTAACAAAGTAGAGCCATGATAAAGTGTTTCGTCATTTTCCCTAAAAATAATGTTTAGCATTACTATTTTCCACCACTAGGTGGCAGCAATGATATGTGTTTCTAGTAAACTTGTTTTAAGCAGTCATACATTTTAGACATCTTCACACATCCAAGTGAAAGTAGAAATATACATTTTTGTGATCCAAATGTATGATTCAACATAGCTTAACGTTAATTACTAACAGTAAGCGTGATAAACATGACCAAAAAGGTAGTCATAGATTAAGAGCAGTGAACAAATGGTCTTGTGTCTTTCATTGGAATGTGATTGTGAAGTTTCACATGATTGCGCTTCAGGCACAGCACTGGAGGTGTTTTAAACATGTCTCTGAAGTACAGTGGAACAGCTGAGGGGCAGGCGCTGAGGCTCCTGTGGCCCTTCTCATGGTCTAAATTTAAAGCTGCTCTCACCTTAAAAGGTCCTGACGGTGTCTTGCGCTTTCTGCCGAGTGGCAGCCTTATTTTTGCTCAGTGGACTGCTGTCCTGTCCACTGACCCTCACCCTACTGCTTTTGCTGGATCTGAAAATAATTTGGAATAAAACACCTTTTCTTCTTGTTGTGGACTGGTAAATTGCTGTTGGTGGTAAGTAAAGGCTTGTATCTTCTTTTTAAGTTCCATCAACTTCATTAAATTATAGTTTGTCTTGTTTGTGTCTGTAAATTTCCAACACTTGCAATAGGCCTTGTTTTTGTGTCATGAGTTTTCCATTTTATATTAATAACAGGTTCATTGATCTTTAAGAACATGTTAATTGACTTTTTTAAAATTATGCCCCTCTCTAACAAAGTCTTGTTTGTTTAGAATCATATTCCGAATTGCATGTCTTTGATTCACAATAACATAATTATAACATGGCCTAAGCTGCTGTTCTGCTTATAGTTCAGTTTAAACAGGTATCACTGTGAACAAACCTTACATGCATTTCTTTTTCAATCCGTCAAGCCATCCATTAGTTACTTATTCGTTACTAACCAGTTATTGTGACCATGAAGGGATTATGAAACAAAGGAGCCTGGGATCATTTGTCTCCAGTTTGTTCTTGCTTATCCTGAAACTCTGCACTAAGAAACACCGTACAAAATACTTTCCTGACAATGTTATTACTTGTGTCTCTAGTGGTATTTTGCAGGGGGTTTTTTTGGACATTGTTGTAGCTCACTTTATGTTTGTGTGTCTTATACTGTGCGTAATGTTATGCTGTCATATTTGACAGCATGTCCTAACGGATTTGATTCATTCTTCACACTTTTTATGGCGTTATGCCTGACTTTGAGCATTTTTTCTCAGAATGTTTGCATATTATCTTTCTTACTTTCTTTTTTTTAGCTTATCTTTTTTGATAGTTTACTCAGCAGGAACAACCACTTGCTAGACCGGTGGGTACCCCTACCTACTAAATGGCACATGGGCCTGAACTCTGTGAAACTATTCGGTAATCTGTCCATGATTTCATTATGCACTTTACCAAGAACTCTTAGTAAAAATGTATACATCACATCAAACATGATAACTGAATGGCTTATAACCATAAAGGAGAGAAATATCACAGTATTTGTGTTATTTATCTTCCTCTTCTGGAGGTTTTCTGAATTAAACTACCACAAAATAAAAATAGTGAATGTTGAAAACTTCTGCTGCAGTTCATTTATAACCTGCTGCTTCATTTAACACAGTAGAGGTAGATCCTGGGCAGAGCTAACCCTTCAGCTGTTAAAACATAACCATTCATAACCCCGACTTGGAGAAAGAAAACATATATTTTTTATCAGTCACTAATTCCCTAAACCATCCTTCCTAATTCCTAATGATCATGCTCTGCTTTTCCCTAACCTTCAGCTCAGAAATCAGATTATCGTAATAACAGTGAGATTGATTTGCAGAGCGGGTAAAGTAGAGGGCAGCCATTGTAAGTTGGCGGAGCGGCCCCTTGGGATGTCAGGATCAGTGCAAGTGACTCAGAAGCAGCAGCAGAAGCTGCAGCTGCATCAACAGCTGGAGGAGAAGCAGCACTATGAGAGCAGCTATTACCTGAGCACCAGGTCGTCTGTTACCAAGCAGGCCTTCTCAACTCGCAAGACCAGCAGCCATCGGTAAGAGGCCCAAAGTGATATAGTCTCTAAATAACAGCAAGTTTGAGGTGCAGAAAGAACACGTCATTTTTTCTAACTCCGAGTTCTTTCTTATTTATTTATTTTTTTTAAAAACAGTGTTTTCCTCCTTAAAGCCAGGTCAGAATATTATTTTAGGTTTAAGCAAATAGTTTTTTGTTTTTTTGTTTTTTAGCAGGATTCACTATTTCAACATTTACAATCCAAAGGTATGAAGACATATTGTTGAGAGTTGTTTTTCCATATATCATCATATCCAAAAACTCGTTATTCATTCTTTTAGTTGGGCTAGTTGCAATTCTGTCATCGTCATAGTTTTGAAACTCTCGTCTTAACAACTCAAAAAAGTTATGTTCATGTTGTTTACTAAACTTCAAGACCTAAATTGGATTACCGTAATTTACTGTGTTGTAATTAAGTTTCCATTCAGATTAAAAAGCATCTTTCGATGTTTTTTAAAACGTTTCTTTGTCTTTTGAGAAAAAGCCAAAGGTTTTAAAAGGCCAACTTGAAAATGCTCGACACTCCAAACATGACCGCTGTTGTTATCAGTACTGCAGTTCTCAGATACGCTGGAAACATTAAATCATCTTTCAGGCAACATCATAATTGTTTTAATTCTAGGCATTTTAAGACATTAAGACATCATTATGCAAAGTCATTGGATTTCAAATGCCTGACCACATTACCAGAGATTGGTACACCCATCCATCCATCCGGCCGTCCATTTTCTTACACCCTTGTCCCTAGTGGGGTGAGGAGGGTGCTGGTGCCTGTCACCCTGTCCAGGGTGGTATATTGGTACAGGAGATTGGTACATTGGTACATATAATGACACCATTGTGCCACAAGCACTCACCTTGTAACACAGGGGAAGATTTTGTTTGTTGTCTGTTTTAAGCTTAGTGGGGCTCATGTACATGTCGGACATGTTGCTTTCTAAACGAGGTCAAGGAAAGAATTTCAGCTGTAGCCTAGAGCTGCCAGCTATATTCATAGACAGCCGAGCTATTTCTGAACACCTCGACATGAAGCGCTGCCTTCAGGCCAACTGTAAATACGCTGTATGAAAGACTGGAAATTTTCCCAAACCCACATTAAAGGTTAGCTCTGTTGTAAATAATACCACTGCAGCTGTACGGTACCGGCTGTATGTGCACTTGTGCTTCTAGAACTGTATTCTGTTTCAAATTTTCTTTAGGGCGAAAATATTTCTCCCAATAGAATTAATGTGACTGAGTGGAACATAATTTCTTCTTAGACTTTAAGAACTGAAACTCTCATTTAAAGCTAAAAACTTTTGATGCCCCTGACTGCCCATTCAGAGCACCTGGTGAGTCAGCAGCGGAAATAACTTCTTAACGCACTCACTTCAGATGTTTTCCTGCGACTTGCATCCAGCATACTGCGTGACCATGATCCCGTAAGTCCGAAACAGATATCCAACTCTGCATTGAGCCACCTAGAGAGAGAGGAAGGCATATTTTAAGTGAAAGCAAGGCTTTAAAGTGGACCTTTACACCACGCTTCATATCCGCTAGTTTTTGTTCCATTTATAAACCCCGCGAAGAAAAAGAAAGTCTGAGAGGTAAATGAGTCAGAGAGTAGTATCGCGTCAGGGTCTGGAGGGTGGAAGTAAATGCAACATCTTTTCTGAGTAGGACTGGAGAATTGGTTTTAGATGGCTTTATGTAACAAACATGTTTATTTAAGGAGGTATACATAAGGTCAATGAGCAAGTGGAGTTATTTCAGAGATGCACTGCAGCTTTTCTCTCTCTCTTTTTTTTCTTTTTTGGATGATTGTGTTTATTTATTTTTTTTTTTTTACAAACAAATGTGTCAGCTGGCGGTTTAAAAAGTGGAACTTACATCACAGTCAGTGGTGGTTCTTCCACAAATGTTGCCCTGGGCAGGTCGCTCCTTTAGCCTCCCCCCACCCCCCCACAAAACCAAACACATAATTTATTACCTGACAATTCATTCTTGTCAAGCAAAAAGTATTTATTAGACGTTAGAAACATTAAGAATGAACAAGTATTCCTAGTATTGCTTTATATAGACAGATAAATATATTAGCTAGACGGATTTCAACAATACATTTTGGAAAACTGAATGTCTTCTGTTACACGCAGAGTTTTGGGGATTTTTAAAGCATCTACAAAGCTTAATTCAGATATGTGCAGATTCTTTATATCATACTTTTCAAACTTGTTCAGATGCAAAAGTCCTTTTTGTCTTATGGTGTCCCCACTCATGGTGTGCACCCCTGAACAGAACGCCACGTTCCTCATATCAAAACCAATCAGAGCTTTTGAAAAAAATTCTAGCAGTACTTCATAAGTTGATTTAATATTTCAGTTCTTTTTTTGGTAAACTATCAACTTTCTCTTCAAGTCTTTCATAAAGAGACAAGAATATATTTCAGTATTTGTTGTGAAATGTAATATTTCTCACTTAGATTTTTTTTAATCAATCTACAACTGTTGACTACCTTACTTCTGTCTAATGGTGAATAATTTATACTTTCCAAACAGCTTGGCTTAGGGATTTAGCTAAATGAATGTGCTGGATTTTATTAGGATAATTTCTGCAAAGATTTTTTTTTTTCTTTTTTTTACAAACGTTTCCATCCTGTGTGTTTGCAACCAGTGTGGGACAGACACAAAATACACAACCTTAGATCTTGTTTTTGGACATTGATATAGGTCAATTGAATCATAAAAAAACACAGCAGCAAGCTTTGAATTCAAAGAAAATGTCTTGTCCTTTATTTGAAGTCAGACTTCGCCACCTTTATACAGCAGCTTATTGACTAACTGATTTTAATTTGGATGTCATTTCCTGCCTCTAAGCCTGAAGACCTCTGTGAA